CCTCCTGCCTCAGCCTCCAAAGTGGCCGGGACTACAGGGAGGTGTGCACCATCAGGCCCCGTTTTCTGTTTTATTTTGCAGTGAGCAACTCCTCTACCATAGAGCTACATCCCCACCCAATATGGGTATTTTCTTTTATTCTAATGAACACTCTTTTCTTGTTTCAGGAAAGAACATTCCTAAAGCCATAATGTTCAATATTAAAATCTAATACATTAAAGATAAAAAAGTTTATTTGAGTAAAAAGCAATCCATGAACTGGGGAACTCCACATTGGAAGACATTCCCTGGCCAGGTGCGATGACACACACTCCTAATCCCAGCAACTGGGGAAGTTGAGCAGGAGGATCACAGCCTGGGCAATTTAGCAAGACCCTAAGCAACTTAGTGAGAGCCTGTCTCAAAATAAAACAAAAAGGGCTGGGAAGGTAGCAGAGTGGTCAAGCCCCTGGGTTCAATTCATAATATCAAAAAAGAAAAAAATATATCCTAATAAATACAATTATATTTATATATATTTTTTATAAATGACATGATTTAACCAACTAATAAATCAATGGTGGAGGCCTGCTTATCTGATCAAAACCTCGTGTTTGTTCTTCAAGGTGTTTAAATTTGGGGTGATGCCAGGCATGGTGGCACACGCCTGTTTTCACAGAGACAGGAGAGGCTGAGGCAAGAGGATCACAAGTTCATGGGCAGCCTCAGCAACTTAATGAGGCCCTCAGCAACTTAGCAAGACCCTGTCTTAAAATAAAATATAAAAGCTGAGCTTGGTGGCACACTCCTGTAATCCCAGCTGCTCAGGAGGCTGAGGCAGGAGGATCGTGGGTTCAAAGCCATCCTTAGCAACAGCAAGGATGCTGTTGCGCTAAGCAAATCAGTGAGACCCTGTCTCTAAATAAAATACAAAATAGGGCTTGGGATGTTGAATGCCCCTGAGTTCAATTCCTGGTTAAAAAAAAAAAAAAAAAGACAGAAAATTGAGGGTGGTAGTGCTTTGTTTACAGGAAAACATCACTTTTCATCAATTAGGGTACAAGTTTCTTTCTGTTGAATAGAATAAAATAAAAGAAAGAAAGAACTACTATGAGCCCAAGTTATTCACCTCAGATCACACTGCTGGAAGAGAATTCAAAGTATTATTAAAATGCTCAGGGGACCTGGGTGGAGCTCAGGAACTATGGGTCCTTGTCACAATTTATGTCCTGAGTGAACTACAGAAAATACCTGGGTGCTCCAGTCGGCCTCTGGGGCTGGCATCCACTTTACTGCCAGTTCTGGGAATCTCTGGTGCACCCCAGTCCCCGGGCAACCCATGTGGGACCTTCCCAGAGCCAGCCCACATTGTCCACCAGAGGCACAGCCACAGTGGTGTCCTGCCAGGCGGCACAGAGCTCCTGCTGCACGTTCCTTGGAAGCATTTATTTTCTCTGCAGAGCCGCAGCCTCTGCTGCTCCTGCTGTTTCCCCCTGGATCTGCTTTTTTAAAATTGATTTTATAGCATTTCAGTCAGTTGTGCATATTTAACCTGAGTCTAGTCATAAAGAAATATCAGTCAATTGTACCTTGAGGTACAGACTCTCGTAATCCCAGCAGACCCTCATAATCCCAGCAGACCCTCGTAATCCCAGCAGACTCTCTAAATAAGCTAATATTATGAAAAATTTTTGAAAATATTGAGGGAACATCTAGTTCATTCATTTTATTATTTTTTATTCTATTTTGTTATACACAATGGCAGAATGCAGTCATTCCACATTACACATATAGAGCACAATTTTTCATATCTCTGGTTGTATATAAATTATGTTCATGCCAATTTGTGTCTTCATACATGTACTTTGGATAATGATGTCCATCACATTCCACCATCCTTGCTAATCCCCTGCCCCTCCCTTCCCCCCCCTTCCCCCCCCCCCCCTCTGCCCTATGTAGAGTTCATCTATTCCTCCCAAACTCCCCCTCCCTACTCCACTATGAGTCTCTCACCTTATATCTCAGAAAACATTAGAATGGCCTTTGTTTTTGGGGATTGGCTGACTTCACTTAGCATTATCTTCTCCAATGCCATCCATTTACCTGCAAATGCCATGATTTTATTCTCTTTTATTGCTGAGTAAAATGTCATTGTGTATATAGGCACATTTTTTTTTATTTATTCCTGCTCCAATGCTGAGGCCTGGAGCCCTGTGCGGGGTCACAGTGCTGGTGATTTCTGTGGAAAGCAGCTGTTTAGGAGTCCTTGAACACTCTCTGTGATGCAGTATTCCAACTAGGTGAGATCTGGACCACAGACTGACAAAGAATGCTGCCTCCCCCTGGCCCGCCATCTTCGTTCTCCCCACCCTTTTTATTTTTTTATTTGTTATTTTTTTTTAAAGAGAGAGAGAGAGAGAGAGAGAGAGAGAGAGAGAGAGAGAGAGAGAGAATTTTTTTTTTAATATTTATTTTTTAGTTTTCGGCGGACACAACATCTTTGTTTGTATTTGGTGCTGAGGATCAAACCCAGGGCCACATGCATGCCAGGCGAGCACACCACCACTTGAGCCACATCCCCAGCCCCTCCCCACCCTTTTTAAATGCTGGTGATGGAACCCTGTGATGCTTTACCCCACTTAACTACCTCCCCAGTCCTTTCATTTATTTTGAGACAATTTCCGGCCAAATTGCTAAGGGCCATGATAAATTGGTGAGGTCAGTCTTGAATTTGCAGTCCTCCTTCCTCAGCCTCTGATGTGGCCAGTGTTATAGGTATCTGCCACCACACTTGGCTCTAACACTGTTTTTTTTCCCTAAGCCGCAGAGAGAGGTTTATTTGGTAAAGTAGATACAAATTCTAGGGAGAATGGTGCAATATCAGGAAAATGCCTTTGAGGTAAAGCAAGGAATACTCACTCAAGGTGAAAAACCAGCCTCTACCTCAGAGCAAAGCCTGTCCAAGGAAGGGACTTGACCTTTGTCCTTGGAAAGACCCACAGAGCACTCCTAGGCACATTCCCACCCTGCTAAGTTGTTTATCTACAAATAACGGGAGAGATCTGCTGTGCCAGGTGTCCCTGACTCAGTCAGGCTAGGTGGGGACCCATAGCAACCCCCTAGCAGCCACCAATCAGCAGGAGAAAGGGAAATACCTGGGATGCCAGATGACCCTCCCAGTAGTTTATGGTGTTGGAAAACCATGTAATTCAGCATGAACACCCCTCTTGGCTTAAACCAATCAGTTCAAATGAATACCCCTTTTGTACTGACCAATCACCCCTACCCAACTTGTTCCCGCCAGTGAATGTGCTAATCATGTTTTAGAGTTGTTGTTTGATTTTCCTGGGGTGTGTGATGATTTGCTAAGAGATGCTATGATGTATGTGGGGTCCCTGCCTTCTCCAAAGAATGTATAAAACTGCTGCAAACCCTGGGCTCGAGGCCTCTCAGCATCACCAGTTGCTGTGTGCATGCGGAGGACCAAGCTATCTCGCAATAAACACCTCTTTGCTGTTTACGTTGATCTTGGTCTTTGGTGGTCTTTTGGGGGTCCCGAATTCGAGCATAACAAAGGCAGAGTGCAGGCTATCTCCAGAGGGAGAGAAAATCTCTGGCACTAGTTTTATTTTTCACTGAAGAAGAAAGCTGAGGTTCAAGCATTAAATCTTTCACTTGTGTTAGTTCTGCGGAAAGTGGTGAGTTAGGGGCTTTACAGATTCCAGAAGAATCTTCAGATTCACATTTGGATTTCTTGCTGGGAGCCTGCCAGCCCTGAGACAAGCTTGAGGGTCCAAGTGCAGGTTTCTGGTATTAGCAGAACTTCTTAAGTGAAGTTCAAGATTTTTTTTTTCCCTGACTTTGAGGTCTGGGTAAATTTGCCTTTGACAGTCAGGCAAGGTGGCTCACCCCTGTAACCCGAGCAACTCAGAGAAGCTGGCAGGAGATGGCAAGATCCAGGCTAGCCTCAGCAGCTTAGTGAGACCCTGTCTCAGACTAAAACAAGAAAAGATAAAAAGGGCAGAGATGTAGCTTGGTGACAGAGAACTCCTGAGTTCAATCCTTCATACAGGGGAGAAGGAAAGAAGGGAGGAAAGGAGGGAGAGAGAGAGGGAGAGAGGGAAGGAAGGAAGAAAGAAAGATAGGGGGAGGAAAAGAAAGGAAAAAAAAGAGAAAGAAATGGAGGGTAGGGGAGGAGAAAGGAAGGAAGGAAGGGGGAGAAAGAAATTGCCTCTGGCAGTATACAGACCAAGACCAGGCAAGATTGGTTAGGGGTTGAGAATCCATCAGGGACGCAAGATTGCTTTTTTTAATAAGTAAACTTTTTTTTTTTTTGAGAGAGAGAGAGATAATTTTAATATTTATTTATTTATTTTTATAGTTTTCAGCGGACACAACATCTTTGTTATGTGGTGCTGAGGATCCAACCTGGGCCGCACGCATGCCAGGCAAGCGTGCTACCACTTGAGCCACATCCCCAGCCCCTGCAAGATTGGCTTAACACTTGGAAAAAACCTGGAGTGCAAATCTCCTTTCATATTTGAATAACAATTTCATTGATTAACCACATCAATGGAAAAAAGCAAAAAAAAAAAAAAAAAGAAATAAGAATCATCTCAATTGACACAGGGAGAAATATTTGTGTGCCAGGTATGATGGTGCATTCCTGTTAACCCCAGCTACAGGAGACTGAGGCAGGAGGACCACAGGTTCAAAATCAGCCTCAGCCATTCAGTGAGACCCTGTCTCAAAAATAAAACATAAAAAGGGCTGGGGACATGGCTCAGTGGTTAAATGCCCCTGGATTAAATCCCAAGTACCCACCCACCCTGCAAAAAATATATGGGAGATTCAGAGAGAAGGGAAGGCTAAGAAGGTCCCCTAGGCAGGAATGAATAGGTGGCTGGGGGGGGGGGGAGGTGGAGAGCGAGAAAGGTTTTTCTTTCTTTTCATTTTCTTCCTTGTTTTCAATGGAAAATTGTTTTTAAATTGATAAAAATGATCTATGAGAGAGCTGCCACCGCCGTCCTCGCCAAGGGCGCAGCCAGAAGCGCGGTTCGCCATCCACCGCCTTGGTGATGAGCATAGGAGCCCCAGGTAGTCCTTCCAGGAGCTGAATTGCTGCCGGTGCGCCTGACCCTGGGCACTCACGTAGCGGGCACTGGGCACGACCGCCACGGGCGCGGGGACGCGGCCACGGCGGGGCCAGCAGGGCGCCCAGGGAAAAGCCTCCATGGGCAGGCTGCTGGCTTCAGGCATCACGCCGCCTCCCCGCCGCCAGCGCAGGCTGGACAGAAGGGACAAGCCAAGCCTGCCCGCCGGCCAGCCGCTTAAACAAATTTTTGGTACTAGGGATGAATGAAACCCAGGGGTGCTCTACCACTGAGCCACATCCCTAGCCCTGAAATTTTTTCATTTTCAGACAGGTTCTCACTAAGTTGCTGAGGGCCTGGCTAACTTGCTGGGGCTGCGAATGCAGCTCAGGGGTAGTGTGTTTACCTAGCGGGCAGGAAGGCGGAGTTCTATTCCCACCCCAGGAAGGGGGGAATCCTTCACCTCAGTCTTTTCCCAGCTACCCTGAAGCCAGGGTTCTGTGTCCTCTGAATTTGCAGCCACATGCTAAGTTTCATCTCTAAGTGCCCAGAGGAGAGATTTTCCTATGCACCTGACTGGGAAGGCACACAGTAACAGCACAGCTGCTTCCTGACAGGGACCTGGGCCATGAAACATCCAGTTGCGCCAGGATAAAGGGTGCCTATCTGCCCAATAAGCTCAGGAGAAGGCACAGATCCAGATGTTCAGGGGAGGCCTAATGTCCCTCAGTATCCCCATCAGCTTAGCAGGAAGCTGGACAAACCACCAACGTGGAGAGTAGGACACTGATTGGTCTCCAGAGGGGCGGGGCACATGCTCTAGGCTTAACTGGCTCAGCCTGGCAGAGTGCAGCAGGTGGTTCTCCAGGACTGACATGGGGAGGTACCATTGAAGCTGAACATGGTGAGCTGGGAGCAGCGGCTCAGGGAAGGTGGGTGGCATGGAGCTGCCAGCCCATGACCTCACAGTCCTGCAATTCCAGGGTCTGCAGAGTAGCTACCACCTTTCTGTAGCAGAACTTGGAGGTGCATGTGACTTCAACTGGAGGTTTTTTGGAAGAAGGGGGACTGGGAATTGAACCCAGGGGTGCTCTAACACAGACCTACAACCCTAGTCCACTTCCTTTTTTATTTCAAGACAGGGTCTTGCCAAGTTGCTGAGGATCTAATTCACTGGGGCTGGTTTGGAACTTCTGATCCTCCTGCCTCAGCTTCCTGAGCCACTAGGAATAGAGGTGTTCACCACCACACCTGGCTTTAAATTTTGATGCCATCAAGATCCATGTGATTCAGCTGACTGATACCCAGGCACAGGGACAGATGCTTCAACTCAGATTCTAAGTACAGGGAGTTAGTAATTGAGAGGGTCTGGTGGGAATGGTTGCCTAAGGAGACACCAGGCAGTTAGTTCTGAGGAGCAATGTCAAGGTGGGAGAAGACAAAGTGGCCCAAGCCCAAGGTCACCCTGACCCCTGATGATGGTCAACATCCAGGATTCTGCCTGTTGCAGAATCTGCTCATTCACGTCACCCATTTCAGGGTAAGGCTTACACCAGGTAGGTCCACCATCTGCAAGGCCTCCATCCCTGCTGCTCACCCTCAACTTTGAATCACCACCTGAGGCTCAGAGCAGCCTTCCCCAGGGGGGCATTGGAGGTGGCTCTCTGCTCCCTGCTGGAGAGCACAGAGCTTCCCTGTTACAAGGTGCAGGTGTGGGGGCTTCCCTCCTTCAGCACCCTCCCCTCTACCCTGCTTCTCACCACCTTCGCTGGACAGGCCTCCCAGGGAAGGAACCTCACACCCACCTCACTAGCTCCTCTCCCCACCACCTGGCTTCCCAGCAGAGTTCAGCTTCCCAGACCACGGACCCCTGTTTAGCCCTCTGCTTCTGTGTGGGTGGTGATGAGTCCATCCTTCAGGACTAAGCAGGGAACCAGACCCTGAAGTCCCTCGGTCACTCTCCAGCATCTCCTTCTCTGACATCACCAGTGGCCGGGGTATAGCAAGTGCAATTTATTTGTTCATTTATGGTGCTGGGGATGGAACCCAGGGGTGCACTACCACTGAGTCACATTCCCAGCCCTTTTTATTTTTTGAGGCAGGGTCTCCCTAAATTGTTGCAGCTGGCCTTGAACTACTGATCCTCTTGCCTCAGCCTCCTGAGTTGCTGGGCTTTTAGTTCTGTGCCATTGTGTCCAGCAGCTCAGGCAACTGACCCTACCTCAAAATAAAATTATTAAAAGGACTGAGGTTGTATTTCAGTGCTAGAGAGCCTCGGGGTTCCATCCCAAGTACTGAAAGAAACTTTTAAAGAGAAATTATAAAAGCTGGGTTACAATATCATAGAGGATTTGAATCTTAGAGATGGAAGGGAAACCTCTTAATTATCTCAGTTCTGGGTTTAGGGAGACCTGGGATGTCTTGTCTTCTTCAGGTAAGAGGGAATTTCCTGCATAATCAGAGCATAACCTAAGTAATAGAGTTTTTCTTTATTTCTTTTTTTTTGGGGGGGTGTACTGGGATTTCACTCAGGGGTACTTGACCACTGAGCCACATCCCCAGCCGTATTTTGTATTTTATTTAGAGACAGGGTCTCACTGAGTTGCTTAGTGCCTCACTTTTTGCTGAGACTGGCTTTGAAAGTGCAATCCCTCTTCCTCAGCCTCCCGAGCTCTGGGATTACAGACATGTGCCACTGCTCCAGGCATAATGGATTTCTTCTGCAGAGAACTCAAGTTTATCCAAGGAGGTCTTATGGCTTTCATTTGCCACCTACTGTTAAAGGTGAAGAAAAACTATTTTAGAATCCTGTGCAGTAGGAGATCATAAAACAAATCATTTGCAAATTGAGAGGCATTTCTAGGAGATTGTATGGATGAGAGGTCTTGGCGTGATGCCTGAGAGGGGTGATGTGGGGTTTCAGGGCACACTTGTAGATTCCCAGTCTGGGTGTATTGCTTATTTTTCAGAAGGCAACAGTGTTGGCTCTCCTTATCCCCTGGGTACCAGAGACAGCAGAGTGAAGGTGTCTGCTGAGAACCATTTGGAGTCTGCAAGCCTATTAGTTGACAGGTGCTGGGGTTTGGAATTGCAGGAAATCTTGCATTTATAATTTTATCTATAACACCTAACTCTTGGGTATATGTCCAACCTCCCTTTAGGTTTCTTGACTGATGGGTTGTTAAATTGTGCAAGGATTTAAGTTGTATTCTATGAAGTTCTCTACAGTAGTAGGGCACCCTTGGGTTCAATCCCCAACACACACACACACACACACACACACAAAGACTCAGACTATTATTCCCTGAACCTCAGTCCTTGTGGATAAAGCTGTGGTCTGTGGTCCACTATGACCTGAATAACTCAGATGGAAATCTCCTACTATCCTCAGATGAACTCCTTTGGAGAGCAGGTTAGTGTTCTCAGTTCCGTGGGCAACCACAGGCGCATTACCCCATCGAACAGCCACATGCATCAGAACGAATGGCACCCAGAGAGAAGTAAAGAATGGAGGGTATACTCAGAATGGCCGTGCACTATTGTGATGCCATGAGGTCCTAGGCTCCAGTGTCACTGATCAGCACTGATCAGCCACTGGGTTAGCTTCCTGACCTTTAAGCACACATGTCCCCATTGGTTCCAAGTCTCCTGATGGGACCCAAGCCTCTGTGACCCAGGCCTCCTGCATCAGCTTTTCTGTTCCCACTCATGTTAAGTAGTGCCCTGGCATCCTGTTTCTAGTTCCCCTTGGAGAGACACTCGTGTCTTACCTTTATTTTCAAGTGCACAGGAGAACATTTCTCATATATGCATCCCACTAGGCAGGCAGCCAACAGCGACACGGACTGGAGGGCAGGTTATAGATAAACCAGTTGCCACATCTATGGCAGGGTTTAGTATAGAAAAGGATGCTCTTTGGCTCTCTCACATCCCTCAGTTTCTCCATCAGCTCATCGATGAGTTGGAAAAGTCTCCCTGGGTGGATGGCACCCTGAGCATCATAGCTCTCCAGAGGGGCAGGGTACTTCTCTAGGCTCAACCGGGTCAGCCTGGAAGTGTGAAGCAGCAGGTTGCTCAGGAATGACATGGAGATGTCATTCCCATTGAAGCTCAATACCCTGAGCTGGGAGCAGCAGCTCAGGACAGGGAGGATGGCCTGGAGCTGGGAGTTGGTGATCCCACAGTCCTGCAAGTTTAGGGTCTCAAGGGTGGCTGCAGCATTCTCTAGCAGAATGACGAGGGGCTCAGGACTGAAACTCGTCAATTTGCTGCCCCACAGCGTCAGGTGTATTAGCTGGTCGAGGTTTGGAGACCCCGACAGATCATTCCAGTCTGGATCTGAGAGCAGGCAGTTGGTTATTGAGAGGGTCTCCAGGGGGGTCTTCAGGAGCCTAAGCAAAGTTCAAGCAGTTAGTTCTGAGGAGTGATGTCAAGGTGGGAGAAGACAAATTGGCCTAACCCAAGGTCATCTTGACCTTCTGATGAAGGTCTACACCCAGGACTCTGCCTGTTGCAGAATCTGCTTATTAGTATCACCCTGTTTCATGCTGAGCCTTTCACCCTCACTTGAGTGACCGGGTGGGTCCATCATCTATAAAGCGCCCCTCCTGGCTGCCAAGCAGAAAGCCACAGCTGTAGCAGAGGGGGTCAGGGTGAGACATGCACAAATAACAAACCCAGGCAAGATGGAGCCGCCCAACCTGGGGTTGCCCTCCTGCGGGGCTCACACCCTGTACCCTCCACCCCTGCTCCTCACCCTCCAGTCCAGAATCACCACCCAGAGCTCAGAGCAGCCTTCCCCAGGGGGGCATTGGAGGCGACTCCTCTGCTCCCCGCTGGAGAGCACAGAGCTTCTCTGTTGAAAGGTGCGGGTGTGGGGGCTTCCCTCCTCCAGCACCCTCCCCTCTACCCTGCTTCTCCCCAACATTGCTGGACAGGCCTCCCAGGGAAGGAAACTCACACCTACTCACTAGCTCCTCTCCCCCCACCGGGCTCCCCAGCAGAGTTCTGCTCCCCAGACCACGGACCCCTGTTTAGGACTCTGCTTCTGTGTGGGGTTTATGTGAGACCTGGCTTCAGGACAGAGTGAAACAAACACTTCATTGACTTTCTAACATCTCCATCAATGTTAAGTCACCATGGCTGGCACACAGCAGGTGCCCGCTGAAGTTTCATGTGACAAAGCTTTTGCTCTGATGTCCTAGGACAGTTCCCTCTGCTTCCTCACCTGAGCACCTGGCACAGACGGCCTTCTAGGAAGAAGACACCATCCAGGTACAGCCTCCAGAGGCTGTCCATCTTGGCAAACTGTGAGGTAATGTCATCCATCAACTGATCTCTCTCCTCCTGGGAAGCATAGGCAGACACATAGACGTGGGAGAAGAAGAGCTTCCTCAGGTTGCTCATCTGGCCCCAATAGGTGGCAAAAGTAGCCAAGGTGGACAGTCTCCAGAAACACTGCACATCCAACTGCTGGATAAAGTCCAGATCCAATCTCTCCAAGATCTTCTCGATGGTACAGATGGGCAAAGAGCACATCTGTAGCTTCTTGCAGCACAGCTGTATCAGACCCTTCCTCTCATCCACCCTGTGAAAGAGGAAGGAGAGGAATGCATTCAGGGGTCTTTGCTGTAAGCGCAGGTTTGCTAACACCTTCAAGGGCAGAGTGGGCCCTGTGTCTGGAGAGGCCTTCACTGTTTGCCTCTCCTTCATGACTCCTGGTGAGCAGGCATCGACCACGGCTCCAGACCATGTCCTCCAGAAGTTCCCATGAACCTTCCGCAAATCCAGCACCTGCAGTTTCCACCTCCTGCGGGGACCACAGCAGAGTCTCAGCCCTGAGGCCCCTTCCTTCACCTCTCAGCTGCTGCCCCCTGCGCCACCTCTTCCTTCTGTCTCACTTTTCTCCATCCACTTCCCTCCAATCCAGCCTGGTGCCCCCACCTGTACCAGCTGAGGGAGGGGCAGGCACAACCTCCTTCAGGGGTCAGCACAGCTGCCACAAGCACCTCCACATCTGGAAGCCCCTCCCAGGTGGGGCTCAGCATGGCCAAGGCCTCTCCACCCCTCCTTGCTGGCAGCACAGGAAGCCTGTTGGGCACACTTCAGCACCCACTCTCCCTGCCCACAGCCATCACTTCCCTGGATGCCCAGGGAGCTACCTTCCAGGGTCCCCCTCACCTGGGGCGATCCTGCTGGGCAGCCAGCATGTCCAGCCCATCCAGTGCCACTCGGATCATCCCCAGCTGTAGCGTATTCATCAGGGCCCCCAGGGGCAGGCGGGTGAAGGGCCAGGCCTGCACCATTTTCTTCAGGACCTCAGTGTGTCTCCGGTTGAAGGCCTCCATGAAGAGTGGTGGGAAGAGCTGTATGGGCAGGTCCTCCAGAGCTAGGATGGCCCTGGACTTGTCCTTCAGGAGGCTGCGCCCTGCCAGCTCCTGGAGTGTGGGTGGGGTCTGCTGCTCATCCTCTGGAGTCTGCATGGAAGGATCCTGTGGGATGCCCCACCGAAACACATCATTCACAGCCAAGCTCCATAGCTCTACCTCATACCCACCCCGAGGAAACCACTCAGCCAAGTGGCTGCTTTGGCAATCGATTGATCCAATTTCACTCTTTGTGTGGCAAACCAGGCCTGGTGGTTCAGGCCTATAACCCCATGGTTTGGGAGACTGAGGCAGGAGGATCACAAATTCCAGGGCAGCCTAGAACTTAGTGAGACCACGTATCAAAATGAAAAATAAAATAGGGTTCGGGATGTAGCTCAGTACTATATTGCTCCTGAGTTCAATCCCTAGCTTCAGTGAATTAATAACTAAAGTGGGTGTCATTGATTTTCATTTTTAAAATGAGCAATTTTTAAATCAATTTACTTACTTACACTTTTCTTTTTTTGGTGATACTAGGGATTAAAGCAAGGGGTAGCTTACCACTGAGCTACACCCTTTCCCCTTTTGGTTTGTATTTATTAACTTTATGGCACAGGATTAAACTCAGGGTGCTTTGCCTCTGAGCTACATCCCCAGCCCTGTTTGTTTTTGATACCAAAGATTGAACTCTGGGTACTTAACCACTGAACCACATCCTCAGCTCTTTTTATTTTTTATATTGAGGCTGCTTAGGGCCTTGCTAATTTGCTGTGGCTCAGCTTCCCAAGCCACTGGGATGACAGACACCTGTCACCACACCCGGCTCCCAACCCTGTTTTATTTTGAACAGGATCTCACAAAGTTGTCCAGATAAGTCTCAAACTCCTGATCTTCCTGCCTCAGCCTCTTGAATAGCTGGATTACAGACAGGTACCACCATGAACAGTTTAAATGTAAGCAATGTTAAAAGCCACATATTGTATTTGAGAGCATTGGAAGTAAGAGATGGAAAAAGCTAACTCTGAGATGAGGCTCGATTGAAGAAGTATTTTGAAATTAAAGGTGATAAAGAGGTGGAAATTCATCTAAAAAAAAAAAGAAAAACAGAAGGAAAGAAATTCAATATGACCTAAACCAAAGCAGAAATCAAAATTATTGGGATAAAGGCAAAACTGCATTTAGAGACAAGAAATGCAGACATCTGGTCCTTTGGAGAGACAGAATATGATATTCTTTTTGCCATCACAAACTACGTGTCACCATTTTTTGTTTCTTTTTTGGTATTGGGGACTGAACCCAGGGGTGCTCTAACACCAAGCTACATCTCCAGCTCCTTTTATTTTTTATTTGGAGACAGGATCTTGCTTTTTAATTGCTGAGGCTGGCCTCCAACTTGTGCTTCTCTTGCCTCAGCCTCCAGAGTTGCTGGGTTTACAGACATGTGCTACCTCTCCTAGGCTCTAGGTAACTGGGTAAGACTGGCTGAGAGTAGACCCCATAGAGGTTCTGTTTTGAGTTCAGTTGCCCAAGCTGGTCTTGAACTCCTGGGCTCAAGCAATCCTCCTGCCTCAGCCTCCCGAGTAGCTGGGACTAAAGGTGTATGCCACCAGGCAGCCTGAATGGGGTCTCCATGGGGTTTGGTGACTTACCAGAGCTGGATGATTGGCAGGGAGTTCTGAATCCTAGCAGTGCCAGACAGTGACACAGGTTCCAGGCTTCTGTGCTTCTATGGCTCCTTGAAGCTCTTATGGGGTCTTTCTAATTCCCCCTCCTCTTTTCAACTCCTAGCTCCAATCAGAGTTATCTGGTTAAATAGTTGAATCTCCACCCACTTTACCCCACTGAACTTCTTCTTTTTTTCCCCCAATTAATTGATTTAATCAAAAGTCCATACCTGAAAGGGAATACCTGAAGAGTAGGGTCTCAATGAAGGACACATTAATTGTTCACTCTATATTATTGACTGACTTTTATTAGTATTTGACTTTTAGAGTCCTGAGTGTGACACAGGAAAGGGTTAAATCTGTTTTTGGTCTTAGGGAAAATCAACTGAATGCATCATTCTTGGGATTTCTTTGGCCATGCCCTCCTATATGTCTCTCTATATACACAGAAATGATGTTTTTCGGTACTAGGGATTGAACCTTGGGACACTTTACCACTGATCTTCATCTCCAGCTCCTCGTATTTTTTTCCTGGAGACAGGGTCTCACTCAGTTGCCAAGGCTGGCCTTGAACCTGCCATCCTCTTGCCTCAGTCTCCTGAGTTACCAGGATTAGAGGCATGCCCCACCATCCCAACGGGCCACATTGAATTTACACACATATGTCAGAGTTACTCAGTGTATTAATGTCACTTGGGTTTTATGTTTCCTAACATACCAGTTCATGTGCCCACTTAGGCAGGGAGAGAGGAACCCCTGAGGACATGACCGATCTTCAAAACTTGGGTCCAGAGGATTAGGCCACAGCTATAATGGGAGCAGAGCTGGGGCCTGGGCTGCTGAGGCTGCTGCATGTGGACACTGGAACTCTGGATCACCAAGGCAGTGGGAAGTACATGCAGCTATTTTTGGTGCCTGCCTGGGGCTTTGTTTTGGTGTGGTGCAGTTCTCTTAGGTGGTGGGTGTGGAAAGATTAAAATATCTGTTTTAGAAGGAGTTTAGAGGTCAGAAGGGGGAAGTAGCTACAAGAGGGACAACAGAGACCCTTCAATCTCAGTGCTGTCCTTGAGGTAAGGGAGGGAGATGCCTTCTTTGATTCCCCAAGAAAGAAAAGGGGAGTCTCCATCTGGGATCAGCACAGTCAACCTGATGGACAAGATTACCTCCAAAAAAGTGAATTGACACAGAAAGCCAGAGAGCAGGTTCACGGTCAGAACCAGGGGAAGAGAGTCTAGATAAAAATCCACTGAGAGCCAGGCATAGTGACCCACACCTGTAATTCCAGCAACTCAGGAGGCCGAGACAGGAGAATTGTGTTTGAGGCCAGCCTGGGCAGCTTAGCAAGGCCATTCCTCAAGATAAAAAGCCAATCAGCAATTGGGGAGCCTCAGAGTTATAAAGTTGAGCATGTTTATGCAACCTGTCAGACACAAGTGCCTATGGGAAAATGCAAAAGGGATCTTTGTTGGTGTGTGTTGGTGTTGCAGCTCCAGGGATTGAATCCAGGGTGCTGTCCACGGAGTTCCACCCCTAGCCCTTTTTATCTATCTATCTATCTATCTATCTATCTATTTATTTTACCTTCAGTGAAATTTTATTCTAATTCTTTGAAAATTGACAAACCATCTCATATTGTAAAACTCAAATCACCAAAACATTTTTCTTGATCCTCATATCTCCACTCTCTGTTATCTCAGTTAAATGACAGTCTCTATAATGAACCTCAACTAACTAGAACTTTCTTTCTTTAAGTATCTACCTATTTATTTACTTATTCTCATTAGGCCTATATGGCAGCAGAATTCATTTTGATTCATTGTACACAATTGCAGCACAACTTTTTATTTCTCTGGTTGTACACTATGTATGTTGCAGTCATATGTGTCCCCAGCCCTTTTTAGAATTTGAGCTAGCCCTTGATAAGTTGCCAAGGCTGGCCTGGAACTTGTCATCCTCCTGCCTCAGCCTCCTGAGATGCTGGGATTACAAGTGTGCACCACCACACCCAGATAGTTGCTCTTTTTGTTTTTGTTGGTTTGGGCTGTGCCTTTTTCTTAAGTGTTTAGCAGAAATTACCCATGTTCACTTCACTTATGTTTGCAGTTGAAGCCTGCTTAGGATTATTTTTAAGACATAATGGGGGTTTTTGATGAGAAGTATTTGAAGCCCAGCCTTCAAATTTGACATGTCTTTACCTCTTTCTTGCTTTGGAGCATCTCTTGAGGCAGCTGAGCAAGAGGGTTGAAATGGCAAGGTGTCACTCTCAACTGCCACCCTTGACTTGGTGCTTGGGACTAGAGACAGGTAGATGTTTCTGCCACCCAGGTAACAATAGAGTGGCTCTCCAAAAACTGACTTTAGAAGAGACAGAAAATTCAGGACCCCAAGTAAAGTCAGGCCCATCCAGGAAGCAAAGGAAGACAGGGTTTCAAAGGCCACATAAGGTGCTTTGAAACCATTATCATTGGCTGCAAGGATTCAGTAACAAGGGTGGCCTTGGTCCAGGATGACAGGGACCTGCTGTGTGGGTTTCTCCTCAGAAAAAAAAATAATTATGAGTGGGACACAGTGGTGCATGTCTAAAATCTCAAATGCTCGGGAGGCAGAGGCAGGAGGATTGCAAGTTCAAAGCCAGTCTGAGCAACTTAGTGAGGCCCTAAGATTTTGCATAAGGCTGTGGTTCTGTGAGTCTTTTGTGATGGCTCCTGTTAGCAGGCAGTTGTGGTTCAGGATGCCCACTTCCTAGCACCCTGCCAGCCCTGCTGTGTTGGAATGGTGTCATTTTGATGGAAAACTTTCACCATTAGCTTCACCTGTAAGTACACAGGAGTGCACAGCTGATAGACATCCTCAGCAAGGACACAACCAGAGTTGGTTTCTTGAGTTGTCTGAAAGTGATGGCAGTAGTTTGGAGTGTGTATGGTTGTAGGAAAGTGTTTAAAACTCTTTAAAACCAGGAAACAAGCATGGGGACTATAAAAGGACCACTGGCCAGTGGCTTAGGGATAGGTATGCTCATGCTGCTTTCTTGCTTATTTATTTATTTTTCATACCAAAGATTGAACCCAGGGTTGCTATACCACTGGATGCCTAAAGCTCTGTCCTTGTCCCTTGTCGCGACCCCTTGCCCGCAAGGAAGACGCAACTCAGGAATCTTCTTTCAGCAGTTTATTCAGGCCCTTGATATTTCTTCTTCTCCCTCTCGGATGCCCCTCCCAGCCTTAATAAAGCATCCCAAGCCCCAATGCAAAGCTGCCGCGTGGAGCTTTCTCACAGGGTGGTGAAAAATCATGTGCCAACTTTCCCAGATAAGGAGTTGTTTGTCACAGACCACAGCGGAGCCAGCATCATCTTGTAATGGCGACCATAGTCTGCAGAAACGGCAGAAGCGGCTCACCACAGTTCCCCCTTTTCTGTTTTCTTAAAACAATACAGGCGAGAGTAGAGGTC